CCAAATACTTTCTTTTACCTTCTCTTTCTATTTTTCGCGTTACTTAGCAAAATCTTTTTTGTTTCATCATTAATCACATTTCGCCACGTAAGTTCGTTGCAATTCGATAATTTGTTAATCAATACAAATTTGATTCAATCACAGTGGTATTATAAGTAAAATGCAGTTTCTCCTTATAATCTTTTTTCGTTTTTTTTGTTTTCCCCTGTTTAATCGAAGTTTTACGAATGAATAAAATATAATTGTAGTTAGAAGATTGAAAGAGAAATAAAGAGAAAAAGAAGAGGAGGAGTGGGAGAGAAAAGATAAAATGATATTATTTAACTTACAATTAGGTACAGAAAAGTCAACGTTTAATTCAGTACTTGGAAATAGTTTCGATGATAAGGATATAAAGCGCACTAAATCAAGAGGTTCCAAGTTCATGGATTCAAGTTTAACCACTAATGAAGATTATACAAGGACGAACGAGTCACGTTATTGGAATATAAGACCGATTCCTTCGCAATCCTGTAAAAACGATATTGGTAAAAAAAAAAGAACAAACAAAAAAAAGAAAAGGTATACAAAATAAGAATAAAAAAAGAATTATTAACGAAGTACATTTCGAAACGAAAGTACGCGTGTACTACGATCGATCGATTGTCAATCGAGATTCCTTCGAGTGGTTGGCCAATCGTATTTCGTAATTAACTCGCCGCATAGTCGAATAATGTGATTTGTAATGGCATCCGTGTGTATGCATATATCCTGTTTCATATCCTAGAGAGATTCCTACTTTGTAGGCTCTCCAAACACGATCGAATACCAATTATCGGACGAGCACTTCGTGAAGCTTGGTTGGACCGTATTGCCTATTAGGAAATTTATGAGGAAAATACCTCTCTACGAAAGCAAGATGGCAAAACCTCATTTGAACTGGTACATATATATTTACAATTCGCATTTCGATAATCACTTGTATTTCGATATTCCATTCCGTCTCGGTTTCTTCTATTATAATAATTTCACATTTTTTAACATTTGTTGTATGTAGATGGTATTTAAGAATTACACATTATACAATATTTTATTATACTTGCTCGTTAGTTACGGCCTACAACATCCCGAGAAGCTCGAGAGAACGCCCAGAATTCTTTCTTTTGCTATATTTTGTATTATAATTTCCCCTTTAAGAAAAGAAAAAAAATGCAATCACGGCCTAAATGAAATTAAAATGAACAAAATTAATGGATATTTACATATGTAGAAAATGCAGATGTCATTGGTCGCTCATAAAATAAAATGTTAGCTCATCGAATAAGGAAAAAAAAAACGAAAAAAAAATATTGAAAATAACTATGAAAATAAGAAGATATACATATGGGTAAACGAAAGGTACTCGCAATTAAATTAAAGTGCTCGTGTAATATCACGGGGATTTACATTAAAACTCTTTTACTAAAGGGTTCTAATTTGAAAAGATAAAGAAAGACGAGATGATAAAAACAAAAAAAATAGGTAATTTCCATAAACGACGTGCTACATTATAAAAGATCGAAAGAAGGTTGAGCTCGTAGAACGTGCCGGAATCTCGTTAACTCTCGTTATTACATTGTTCCTCGAGAATAACTTCTCTATTACTTACTAACGAGTTAACAATTAGCGCGGAATGGAATGGGATGGGGTGGGGCGGGGTGGCAATGGCGAAGGTGAAGGTACAAGTGGTAGGGGTTTTTAGAGGAAGAAGGATAGCGAAACTTAATAAGACGATATTAGCGAGAAGCATAGCGTTTTAATTTACTACGATGAGCGAACTTCTGCAATTTGTCGCAATTAATCGTAATACTCTTCTCTCGTGTCTATTCTTGGCTGTCTTCAGGTTCAAGAAAAACCGATACAAAAATAAAAGATATTACGAAAATGGTGTCACACCCTTCTTGACCTTCCACCCCGATTCAGCAACGGCCGAACTTTTTTATCCCAATGGTCAGATAGCCATCAAAATTGACAAACCGAAAAATCGAGAACGTAATTGATCCCCATCTACCGCTACAATTCGTATATAATATTCATCAAATATCAGATTTGTCCTTATCTTTTAATTCTTTCTCTGTTTCTTTTTTCATTTATATAGATTTAGATATGTATTTTAATATGCTTTGCTTTACTCAAAACATCCTCGATATTTTTCATCTTTTATTTTACTTTTTATACGAACTTAATTCCTTAAACATATTTATATTTTATATAAGATAAAAAAACAGGATAGGAAAGTACTCATAATTTAATGAATTTCAAGATGACACATATACCGTGTTCACACCAGGAGTCAACGACTTTGTGGGTATCGAGAAAAAGCAAAAATTAATTGCAATATTCGATAGTCTCGGCAACGGTATAATTCTAGACGAGAATGGCACTACGAGGTTCGTACAATTAAATAAAAAAAAAAAAATTTTTAATAAAAACAATAAAAATGCAAAAGCGAAAAATGAAAAGGGGAAAGAAATTTTAGTATTTTTAATCAATGCTTTTTTAATCACAATCTATAACCCTCTTTCTTGATTATCTCCACAGACTTTCTTATAATCAGATCGGGGGTATTTGGAAGGATAATCCCGGAGGATTGCCTTTTCTATGGACCTGGAGTAGCAATGTCGAGGAACCTATCATAGAAAACGTATATTTGGTTGGTATATACTTATCATAATATTAAATATATATTTGTAAGTAGATATATATATATATATATATCATCTAATAATTTATTATACTATATCATTAATAATTAATCATTGTTACGACATGATAAAATTTACAGGAAAAATCTACGAAAGAATTAGAAAAATTATTATTAACAAGCACAAAAACTCCGAGGATGAGAGAAAAAACGGAGATCACGAGTGTTGATCGAAAACCCGTTGTTAATCTTACTACTGCTGCTGCTGCTGCTGCTGCTGCTGTTGTCGAGGAACGTAAGGAATATCTCAAATCTGGGTACGCATACAATAAAAAAAGTAAATCAATTTACGTTAGAGTATAAATTATTGCTTAAGGTTTTTTTCTTTCTTGGTCAGATTGAAAGATGACAACAAAATTATAAAAATAATCTGTTTGAAGTTAAACAAATATCTAAGTTTTCGAATTCTTGATCGTAGAAATATCAGTTTAAAATTTTTTTCTGGCACTAGAAGCATGAGGTATGTATTGTAGAATAATAATTAGGACAATATGCAGATTTGTTTGGAAATAATCGAATGATATTATATATATATATATATATATATATATATATATATATGTATATATATCATAGGATAGAGTTAGGAACAATATTAGATTATAATAAACAATTGACTTCATACTACGAAGACATGATAGATTGGAAAAAAGCTGTACAAAGGTACATACATTACGATACATTAGGATACAATTCATAAAATTACTTAACTTTTTATATACGTTTGTTTTCTTCCAGATGTAGATTCCAGAAATGTTGGAATAAGAACTTAGGAACCGATAGTAATACAATTAGAACGATTAATCAAGAGTAATCAAATATAGTATATAGATATGTATAATTAAAAGATTCGCGATGTTAGTCAAGTACTCTTATTTAAACTCTTATTTAAAAAGTATATATAAATAATTATTTTTTAACCTAATCTGTTAAACTAAAGTTAAACAATGGAGAAATTCGAAAGTGTTGTAAAATGCTTTATAGTATCTAGTAATTAAATTCCTTACTGCATCAACATATTTTTAACACAATATACATACCTTAATAAGCACTCGAGATAGATTTTCCACCTTTCCCATGATAAACATGATATTACCCAACGAACTATAACATCTCTATCGACTCTTACAAGGTAAAGGAAATTACCATGAGAAGGTAGTTACCGTAAGACCTTCTCCATATTGTCTATCCTCACTCATAAAGCAACAACATTTGCAACGATCTACAATGTATATAATGTTCTATCAATAAAGTCTATGTAGTTGCCTATTAAATTTACCATACCTGCTCGTTTCGCTATACTTTTTGCGTAACTATCGAGTCTAATTTTTACACCGTTAATTAATCGAATATTGAAACTAATGATCGATCATTAAAAATCATAATACTTAAGTCTTACAGTTTAACGACTCCATATATCTAATCGATCGCTTGTATTCTTTTTACATAAAAAAATAATGTATTTATATTATATATTTAGTATCTATCTACATATTATACATACAAACCCATACTCTTGCACCATATTTACATGCATGTATTTACATGTACATGTGATTTTCTCCATTCGTCAATCATATGAAAGCTTTAACTTGTTATTTATATTAATTAATTGAATTGAATAATGTTTGAACAAGTGTTTGATCTGAATTTTGTGTGTAATGAGTATTGACGGGAAAGAAATAAACACAAATGCCAAGGTAAACGTATAGATAAAAATGATCAATATAATTAAAATAATAATGAAATAATCGAAAATATAATTTCTCGTAGACGCATTCTCGTTATCATTTTGTTACGCGTACAGTATAAAACATATATGTACGTACAATAAATGTAAAGTCAGTTCGCGAGTATCGATGACACACGTTTCATCGTACATTCATTTCTGACCTGTATTTTCGTGTACCTTTTTAATTGTTCTTTGTTTTTTTCAAAAGAATAATGAACAAATAAATTAAAATAAAAAGAAAAATGAATATAAACCATATCTGTCCTTATGTATTATGGATTGTGCTTAAAACACATACGTAATGCAATATTCCCTAAACTGGGGAATATTTTCTTTGTTTTTTTTCTCGTTATAACTTAAACGCTAAACGAAGTATTATGAAAAGTATCCACATTAAGAGAGGACAAAATCGACATTGTGAGAAAAAAATAAATTAGGGTTAGATCGATCAATGGCTGAGAATGAAAATGATGATTGAGTGTGAAAAAGAAAGATAGAAAGAGAGAAGAAAGAGTATTCGTGTTGTTAAGAATAATATAAAAATATCGCGAGAGAGAGAGAGAGAGAGGACAAATAAATAGAAAAATTCTAAAATAATAATAAAAATAAGTCGCCAAATAAAGCGAACTTGGACGAACTTTCTGTGTTGGCGACAAATCACGAAGTTTGCGATATGTCTTGAGCTACCATGAAGGTGATACGAAATAACTCAAGTAAAACAAGAACACACAATTTGATATACATGTATAATATGTAAATATGCATGTACGAATTGTCTCATTTAAATCGAATATATTAAAGTACACATTTTCCTCGAATCGAGTGCCATGACAAATTGTTACGTGATAGAATCTAAATGTGACATACATGTGTTGATATTTTTTATCCTCAAATTTATTTTGTTTTAAGCTATCATATTATTACAAGAAAAAATATATAATATGATCGCAAAGACACCGATAGCCTAAATAAACTACAAATTTGTTTTATTTTCATCTTCGAACAAATTCAAATTAGTTTTATCAAATTTGTTCATATTACACTATTCAAGGGAAATATTAAAAGGTTCGATTTAAAACAAAAAATCTTACATACATGTGTATATGTATGAGTAAGTGAGTGAGTGAGTGTGAGCGAATGTATATATAAATAAGAAAGTGTACACGGGTGATGATCGAAAGCGCAGGATTCCGTGCGAAAATTTGTCAAAAGTTTCAAAAGACAATTCCGATAGCCTGCGATTTATGTACAATGTTTATAAAAAACTAATTTAGCCGATACTCCTGCGATCTTACAAAATTCATTGACAAAATCGCAAGTGTATTGACCACCTAGCATAGAAGATGACACGCTCGGCGAAAAACGTTACCTCGATTACGTGTTCTCTCGATCGATCGTGAAAACTACCGATCTTATTTTTTCGCTTATTATTTTAAAATAAATAAACAAAAGAAATAAATTATATATATATTCACAGTATATCGAGAAGTGTAGAAATACTTTGATTTAAGCATAGCTTATCAAAAATGCTTCCTAACATCAGAGTTTTCTTCTCATCGATTAACATCCGAGAAATTTGATCACGACGCGAACGAGGAAGTTTCCTTCGACTTCAAAAATCGATATGACCGAATTTCTATTCGAAGTATTTTGATATCTCTGTGGAGAATTTGATCGTACGTAAAGAGAAAAAGAAAAAGAGAGAAAGAGAGATAAGGAGATAGAATCCGAGAAGGAAGCGATTCGATAAGCGACGAATAAGAAGAAACGGGAGAATAAAAGAACGGATAGAAATAAAAAGCGAGAAAGAAAAAGAAAAAAAGAAAAATAAGAAAAAGAATAAAGAGATGGAATCCCCGATAAATCTCGAGTCGTGAACGAAATAACGTCTCGACGAGCGGTCCCAAGGGTTCGTCCTTTCCTTTAGGATCGTCGACGTACCCTCCTTCCAACCAATCCTCATAAGAGGTCCTTATTCGAGGTCCTTCGAGTAGTTAGACGTAAGAACGTCTTCTCAATTGGCGACCTTGATGAACTCAGGATTCGGTACGGTACAATTGTCAGTGGCGTAGGCCGGATGAACGAAGGTACTTCCAATTGCAACGTTCTTCCGATCAACCGAGCGTACCCTGACGAAGAGGAAAGCAGCAACGAGAGATGCTACGACCACTACTAATAGCAACATCACCAGACCTCCAACGAAGCCTGGCAAACTCATACAAATCGTCTCAGGATCAGTCGAAGCGCTGGCGTTTTGTATTACGACAGTGGTATCGTTGTTAGAATTCGTCGTTCCCAATGCAAAATTCACGTCACCAGGTGCTACTACTTGAATAATTCTCGACGTGTTAACGTCCGTCATCTCTTGGGCAGCTCGTTTGTACACATGATTCGTGACTAGAGAGACTGTATGATAGAATGTCTGAAATCAAATTGATAATAATAATTAATGTTTTGAATCCTTGTCGAATAAATAATAAATAATAATTGTATAGAAGCGAATATTTCTATTGGATTATCAAAAATCAATATGAATAAATAGCGAAAATTTGTTAAAACAATATAATCGCAACTTACGTCATCGTCTTCCTCCAAACGATCGTGTCTTCGTCTCCGAGCTCCCCTAAGCTCGGCTGGAAAACCTTCGACCGACCTTGGTCGGCCTCCGAGAGTAGCTAGGTTACCCTCGAGCTCCTCTGAACCGGCCGTACCTTTTCTTTTGACAGTTTGATAAGCTCCAACTGGGTGACCGGGTAGAGGAGGCGGAGGGAGATGTATGTTATCATTAGAGCTCTGAGGTGAACTACTCGCCGTCGCATCGCCAGGCGTTGAACTTGGCGAGGATGAGGACGTTTGCGCTTGAGGTGCTGGGACTACATCTGGATTTGGCTCACTGATGGATTAAAGACACAAAAATAAACGCATAAATATGGGCAATAGATATTTTCCATCCGTAATGCAATGAATAGAAAATGAAAAAAATTTGTCTCACCTGTAAGCTCCAGCTGGTCCACTAGGATGCCTGGGATCGGGATAAGCAGGTGGTACACTGTACTCCGGCAATGGGGGTTGTCCATATTCGGAGGACACGCTTTGGTGGACCGGAGTACCGTAATCCTGAGATAAGGAAGCAGCGGGTGCACCATATTCCAAGCCCGGATGACCGCACTTCAGTTCGGGGCAATTGTAACGGCAGACTTGAATTACGCATTGGAAATGAACGTTCATACTGTCGGGGAATTTGAAGGCTTGGAAGTAAGCAAAACTGACGACAGAAGCGCTCGGTCCAAAATTCTTCACCTTGTGGAACCTTTTGAATGAAAAGGATAAAGCGATTGTTATCGATCGTTATTCATAGATTGCTAATGAGCAAAGCAAGGATACTGTATTCATACCTGGACATGATCTTAGGCCTGACGACGCACCCGTACTGATCGACCAACTGAATCGGTGCTCTTTTGCCGTCATGGGCAACACAGTTCCTGACCAGCATATCGAACTTATTTTCTACGTCCTTGATGGCTAATACCATAGTCATAGTCTGTCCAATTTTAACGATACCAGATACCTCACTGGCCCATGGTCCTTTGCCGACTTGTATTTGCATCCAACATTGTAGATTATCACCGAGGAAGTTAGCTGTTACGGCATGCAACATGTCTACTTGGAACGGCCTAAAGTTTACTTGCTTCTCGTAATAATCGTACCAAGTGCAACGAAGTTTTCTTGCTTGGTCCCAGACTTCTTGGACATAACGATCGTATTGAACTATGATTGTGTTCTCGACGTAACTACCCGATGGCGTGGGTGCTCCGTAAGCGGCTACGTTGTGATTTGCCGAAGACGTCATGCCACACGAATTCAAGAAGATCTCAAAAGTTGCACTCAAATGGCCAGTGCCTGGTTTTAGATGAACACAATGGGGATCCGAATAAAAGCCCTTGCTGAAGATCATACCGTAAAAAGGTCGATCGAACTCGATGTTGACCCGCATATGCGTCTTCTCACATTGCACCTGTAGATGTTTTATCTGCGGTGTGTCGGGTGAAGCCAAAGGCCAATTCTCTTCCGCTCCGTGCGATGTGGGAGGTCCATATTGCGCTGGTGGGCCGTAAACCGATCTGTGCTCCAATGGCAAAGCGCTACTGTCGACAAGTGGTGCTTCGCATTTTACACCCTACAAATTTCATCATTTTATTATATCTTTATGTACTTTAAATATTATATTAACCTACTGCATAAATTATAGAATATGTGATATATGAACGAAATACATCATTAAGTGTACATTTTATTATTTTCTTTACAAACATAACAAACATGCAATGTAATATTAAAACACGTACGTAATTAATATTTTATCTCTTAACTCGTTACTATGTACCTAAATATACATAATATTAATTTTTAAATTCTTGTAAGGATATCTCATTGTACCGCTAACTTCCACGTATAACTAGCTACTACTCCAATGCCCTAAACCTACAAGGCACGTCCTAAAAATCCGCTCGACGCATTTCGAAATGCACTTGGCTATTATAACGGCAAAAAAGACGGTCAAGTCGATAAAAATTTAGGCAATACGTGTTAAGGACCCTTCTTTTTGAAGAGGAACGATCGCATGGAAATGGACAAAGCGGAGCAAAAACTAACATTATGAATTCATTGAGCGTCAACGACCATTGCAATCTTTCGTGGAATGCTAATCGAACTTGCGTATCACTCGGCGAACACTCTACGTCCGTGATTCCTTGGAATTCTCTTTTACCGACCTTGACGTCTATCCCCGCAAATTTGACGATCTGAACATTTTAATAGATTTTTAGATTACAATGTTCTCTTATGTTAAACAACTGAGGTAAAAAGAAACACCAAATATTGCTTTAATATACCAATCTTTTTTAAGAGTAAACTCTATACTATATGAAACATATCGATTTATTCGTCATCAAGATAAATCAATAGAATCAATATCAGATCAATATCAATCAGAATATTTGTGTTGTTGATGTTTTAATTTAATTATCAATCAATGAGTTATAATCAATGAGAATCTTCGATTATATTTAACGATTTAAAGCTTAAAAGAAGTTGATGAAACGCTATACCGTAGGTTTCATTGGCAGTGGTAAAACGTTTTGTCAGGTTCTAACCTGACGAAGTGAGTCACTCTAATGTGGAGCATGGCTGTAACTGTTTGCTAGTGCTCTTACCCTTAGATAGAAAAGGCCGCTTTTCTAGATACGTACTAGAACAACCGAGGTACTAACATGTGCGGTCGACGATTAGTCTGACTCTTTACAAAGTTTCCAAAGAAAAACGAGTTCGACTTGTTCTCATCGCTTTCGGAAAAGAAAATACTTACACGTGTATAACTATACATATACATGTAACCGACAGTGCGTTTCGATTCACGTAGATTTAGGACTCGAACTCTAAGAAAAATGCCGGCAGCCAAGCACAACCAACGCCCCGTAGGCGATTTCGCATTCTAGGTTAATACGATTGACATATGTATGTATGCGCTAGGTAGGTAGAATCCTCTTAACTTATCCAAATCGATGATCGATTAAGGCCACTAAACATTTACATTTATCGTCAAAAATCAAATTGACCAACTCCCCGATAAAATATCCAATCATACACATTCTTTCAATTATGCTGAACCTATGTACATATATATCTGACTGTTTGAACCGGTCTGGTTAGAATTTTATCATTTTAATACTGCAATTAATATCTTACATTATAAAAAATATCGCGATATTCATAATATATTAACCATTATAGACTCTTAATCAGGTAATAGAAAATAATATAACTGTTAAATATGAAAATACAAAATTTATGCTACGATTTAATTCAACAAAACACTAATATTTTAAACTGTTCTAAATTATTCACAACAATTCTAAAACTCAACGATATTCGATTCGAATATTTTCATAAACTCGATATTAGCGGGCGCATGTGTAACATGGTTTTTTTAATGCAAGAAATAGAAGGAAGTCAAAGAAAACGCGTTCTAAGATAACTGTATACGGGGCTGACTGGTCTTACGGATAAAGGTACGTTTGCGCAGGGGTTTCAACATAAGTTTCAACACACGTATTCATCTACAGATTTCAATTGAAATTTTAATAAAGACGTTTGCGATTATTCGAGAAATCTAGAGAAATATATAAACGAACATATACAGGTATACAAAATGGAACACGTGTTAATCTTTAATTGTAAAACATATTCGAATCTCAAATACGTATGAGTTGACAATTGAGATTAAAATGTTAAATCCTTAATCAAAAGGAGAAAAACTGGAGCGAAGAGTCATAGACTCTATAGGAGTACGAACAAGTATAAAAAGAGAGAGATAGAGAGAGAGATAGAGAGAGAGAGTAAGAGAAAGAAAGAGATCAGTCGAGATGTGCCGTCACAGGCGGACGACAGAGGAGGCCGATTCACGTTGAACAGGAAATACGCGGTTCGCACCTTCATTGGCACCAGGTCGTTCGTACGCATACTTGCTAACCGTCTTGTTCTACTTACACCTGCATTCGATCCGCTTACAAAGACTTTCCCAACAGAAAGTTAAGAATCGTGATTGAACGACCCTACGAAATCAGAACTTTTTACAAAGGTCCAGAATCCTGATCAAATTTTATTTCATATTTTAATAATAATTGCAATATCTTTCAACAAAGTTTCATCCAAGAAGAAATAATTATTACATACTCCAAGTAACTTTTGAAAAAATATGAAACTATATTATTTCATACCGTTATACTCGTACTAAAAATATAAAATAAGAATCAAGAGGATAACTATATTGATCTTGTTATTTTAACAATTGTAAAATAATCATCGGTATAATGTTTATTACATTACTCTGTAAACGATTATACATTTTCTTGCAAATTTGGTAGACATATTTTAAAAAATGAAATGAAAAATTTGAATTGGAAGCGGATCGATCGGATAATAATAGGAAGATGAAAATCGTTAAAACGAATTATAAAAATTTCTAAGGATGTTAACTAAGGAGAAGTAGTAAGAAGCTAACGACGATTTCACTTTTCCATTGTTATCCTCGGATGACCTGACTAGCCATATTGTTCCTACACCGGACACACTTTCACTAAATCGCACATACCAAACGGGCTCATACTTAATTATCGCAAACATTCGTAAGTAGTTTACCGTTTAGTTACTTCCACTTTTAAAATTATCCATTTAGATAGCGCGACTGGAATATACAATAATATTACAAATGTTATTACTGATTGTGAAAGTGAACGAAAATAAAATATGAAGAAAGAGATAAGCGATCATAAAAAAATTGTATTTTCGTTTAGTCTTAGAAAACGATTAACGAATGCGTTGACTCGTTTTCTTTAAAAAAAATGGTAGAAACTATTAAACCGTAGAGAAAAGAAAATATCGTCGTCGTTGCTTTGTCGTCGTCGTCGGTTATGATAGCGAAAAAGTAGGCCAAGTCAGTTGGTTAAAGTTGAGCAACATGCGTATCACGCACGCACATGTTTTACAATAATACAACTATTGTATACTTAATAACGTCGTTCGTCAAAAAAATGTAATGAAAAATATTACGTTAAATATAGTTGATGATACAATTCGAAAAAAAGCGATCAATTAAGAAAAAATCGCTAGAAGAAGAAAAATTTATAATCGTTTCAATTCGATCACGTGTCGATTATCATATATTTTAATTAATTTCTAACTTGTAATAATAATAATTTCAAATAGTTTAAAAAATTACGAAGTGATATTAAAAAAGAATTTAATAAAATCATCATTATATATAAGACAATTCTATTCGTTTAACGTTTGAAGCTTATCGTATTCATTTACCACTGCGTTCATCTAATAAGCTAGAAGGCAATTTAACGAATCGCACCTCCGAAAAGCTTAGAATAAAGTCGGCTTTTAAATCGAAACTCCTGAGTAAGGTTTGACACCGCTTTAATGTCACAAACGCAAGAAGCTGAAGGCGATCTAATTAAAAGGAAACGATCAGAGGAACCCTGCACAAAGAACGTACTGTGAGAACCAAGTCGGGAGAGTTAACCGGTGTTGCCTTCTTTTGAGAATAGAACTCTCCATTTGGGATTTTAATTAAAAGAGAACATTGCCCCATGCCCTTGCGGACCAGACGAAACGAGCTTGCATTAAGGACGCGTAAAACGTTTTTCCGGAAAAACGGAAAGAAAATTCGCAAAGAAGATTTTCTAAATCTAATTTCATCTTTGTCAAATAATCACAACTAGAAGTAACGTGAAGATTATTGTTTGGAATTAGTAGAAAATAAATATTATTTAAATGAATTTTTTAACTCAAATAATACGACTGATTGTGAAATATTTGTCTACTTATGTGGTATATATATGTATATATTTCCTTACGAGAATATTGTACGAATACAATATTAATGCGATCTATTTTGTAATATATTCTTGAAAAAAGAGTTTATAAATAAAGGTTATTATTAATCGAGAACGGCTCGATTTTCTAAGTCGTTAATATCGAATTACGAGATGATCACGAACGAAGCTCGAGACTAAACAACCTATTCAATGAAAAAGCATCTCTTTGTGGTCGTCCGCAAAATTGCACGTTCAGTGTCGAACCACCGAGAGCGTGTTCTTTTTCCTATCCATTATGATTTACCAATCGTGGTTTTATCGTTTCATTACACAATTCTATCTTATACAATGAATTTTCACAAATATTAATATTCATTTGGTACAAATTATATGTTGATTTATATGCCGTTCAATTTTATTTCCATATCTCCTCGACAAATTTTATTCTTCAATCTCTATTCGAGTTTGCGTGAACTACGTTAAATGCATAAGAATGAAGCAGGAAAAAAAGAAGAAAAAAAAATTATTTTCCAGATCTATGTAACACAGTATATCCTGGAAAGTGCAGAGAAATCGAGAGAATAATGGATGCCTCTGCCGACATTTGGGAACTAGCGTTGAACTACTCCCACGATAAATTAGTGGCCTATGTTGGTTTCGTTCTAATTATAAGCTTACGTTACAAACATTTTCATCCGCTCGATAAAGACAGAAAGAAAATAAAGAAAAAAGAAAATAAGAGAGAAAAAAATTGCCGTTTCGCGGAAGCTACTAATGACGACGCATTCTAACATTTTCCCCTTTTTTCTTTTTTCCCTTGCGAAAGAATAAGCAAAAAAGTTATCTCTACCGATAGAAAACCATATCCTTTGTTTCTTTCCCCCAAAAAAAAGAAATCTTCGAAAAAGAAATTCAGCCTATTAACGATCCATTAGATCGACAAATTTTTCCATTTTTCTCATCACAATCAAAAAGAATTACATATTACTAGTTAAATCAAAAACATTCGTAAAAGTATATACAACTTTCTAATTATTTCTCTTTATAAGAAACTAAACAACATTGATCGATAAGCCTTATGTTATAAGATAAAAGAAAAAACAGAAGAAACCATAAGAATATTTATTTTTCTTCTATACTTTTGACACGAACACTGCATGCCTACAACTTTCGTAAATGTTGCACATTATACGGAATGTTAATGTTAAAATATTAAATTTATTGCGTCATGCGTACGTTAGATTTTCTTTATCGGGCGGATGAAGATGACAAAGGCACAACTAATCGGTGCGATAAGCTGTGTAAGATGAAAACTGCAGAAAGAAATCGGAGGATAAAAGGTATAGGGTTTCAGCCAAAATAGGCGGCCGATAAAGACAGTCGAAATAAAGAGTGGAAATGCAGTAGACATAATAGAGAGTCGATACACGACTGTCGAAATAAACGGTTGATATAAGGGAGTCAAACGATCGTCGTTATAGAAGAAGCATGTAATGCAGCATAAATGCATTTTAAATAAAAAATTAATTTAACATAACAGAAAATTTAACAGTTAAATTCAAATACGTGAAATGAGAAAACGAAGTGTGCTGGGTTTCAAACGACGTTTAATAATAAGAAGAAGAAAAAAGAAGAACGGAAACAGAAAGAGAAGGGTTTGTGGGGAGTGGTTTAGGGAGTTAGGGGAAGGGGGATCAGTGTTAGAAAAGGACAAAGGAGAGGTTTCCCGAGAAAGAAAGCTACTACACACCAATACAGAAAGAAAGAAAGAAGTTGTTGTTGATCCTCTCTGGTGCAAGTCGACTAGAATCGTCCACGCTCCGCTACGTATTGCTCCGCTACGCATCACGTCTCGAGCCACCTCTCTCATACGTTGCGAGAGAAAGAAAGAAAGAGAGAGAGCACCGTCTAGAGAGTAGAGTCAAAAGAGGGCAATACGTCCGACGCGTTGACCTACTATCTCCGCTCCGCCGCGCACCGCGCGCCGGGCCAAATAGCTTCTTCCTTCAGCAGTATTTTCTTTCCTTTCCTCATTCATGCACCGATCGCGTATTCGATCGTACTTATTCAATATATATACCCTATAAGTTTGAGTAAACCTAGACCATACATCATCTCGTAAGTATACAGTAACAGTATTCTACAATTTATTTGTAGTTTTTTTTTATAGTTTCAATTATATCAATTGAAACAAGACTCTCCCCCATTAACTCATATGCATACGTTATTTCAATTAAGTCTCTCTGGATACTATGTTGCGAGCTTGATCATAATTGTTGATAGGCACGAATATGATGTTATCGTTTGACCAAACAAAATAAGAAAACTTTTTTTCTATTCAAGAGAAAATAGACAAAACAAATATAACAATTGATAAGAATGAAATAATGTATGTCGCTTATTATGTTAATAGTCTTTGAAAAAAATAAATTTATTGAATCGCATTCGAAAAAAGTCGAGTCGAATTTGAAAAGGTACTCAAACGTTCTCTAGGGCGAATGGTTTTGTTAGTTCTATTATCATGACGTTTATCAGGAATTATTCGTTGTCAAAAGAAATCGCAAATACGTTCGAATGTATCCACGAATTTTGTGGCTTTGTTGGTTGTATATAGAAATATATATATACATATGTAGCACAAAAGATGGCCTGCGGCAATATAAGGGATTCATCTAGAGTCCTCTTGGCTCTTTCTCGTATCGATTCCAGAGCAACAGCACGTGGCGTGTTACGGATAGCGGCTCTCTCTCTTTCTCTCTCTTTTTCTCTTTTTCTTATGAATGAGTGATACTGAATTTTCCGGTTTTCCAAGAACAAAAAAAAATGATACGCAACTTGTACGATTAAACAATAAAACGTTTTGATCCAACTTCTACTAATGACTACAAAAGTGTGCTTAAACATTATAAGTATAAATAATAATGATCAAAATAGAAATATTAAATTAGCGAAATTTATTTTCTCTTCTTTTTATTTAGAAATATTTCAAGTTATAGTAAAATACATTGTTATTATAAATATCTGTCATAAAAGAATATCTATGTATTGTTTAATAATTTTATAATCATATTGACAAAACCTATATGATGTAAATGGTCGATAATACGATTATTATAATTTGTTAATACGATTGTTGTACATTGTTAATACGATTAATTAATAATGAACTTTTACCAAAAATGAAAAAATATCTATCATAAAAAATAGTAAACCATTATTAAGGGCCTACGATCATTTTTCTGTAGCAAAGTCTTCACGGTCTCGCTTTAGTGAAATTTCATCGGATATTAAACACGATGCGAGGTCGATAAACGCACGGACAATATTTGCGGGAGAGCGTGAAATAATCCCAGTAGCCATAGGAAAAGCTCATAAAATAGATTCACCGGATTCACGCGAACGCAACGTAGCGGTGTTCGCGTTAACGACCGGTCCTGTCACTCCAAGGGAGAAATGTACAACGGACTCCTTGCTAACCAACTACTAAACGTAAATGACAACGACAATGACAACGCATGACGAGGTTCGATGAAAGAAAGAAAAAGAAGAAAAAAAGAAAAAAGAAAAGCAAGAGAGAAAGATAACGTCTTAAAGAATTCAAGAAAACTAAAAAGATAATATATAAAACTGGCTGGGGCTTATCGTTGGATTATCAAGTAGTATACCATGTGCAACAAAGAGACCATTAAGCGTAACCGTTTTTATCTACAATTAACGAATTAACGGTAACTAATTATTTCTTTTCTAATTTCATTTCACTCATAGCCTAATAATTTTGTTCCAAGCAACAAAACAGTAGGATATATCTATTAATACGGTACCAATGATATTACAGAAAACTTATTTAGCAAGTGGAAACTTGTTACAAATAAATATGATTACTTATTTTATTTTGAACTATCTCAACAACCGAAAATGATTAAAAATCAACGACGAGAAGAGAAAATCTAAGAATAATAAATAGAAATGAATTTGATAAATATACTCACGGCCAGGAATAGTAAAGACAGCAATAAGATAAAGGCCCTCTTTCGTATACTCCGCCACGTCCTCTCCATCGTGTGTTCGTTTTTTCTCTGTAATAAAAAAAAAAAAAAAACAAAAAATATAATCAAGTTAAAAGGAATCGTAGAAGATGCAGTTCGCGCGCGCGCGTTCGCGTTATTATTTTACTCGTTTGAATCCATATACTTTGTAGAGAATTGTCACCGACAATAGAAGAAAGACAGGAAATAAATAAATACGCACGAAATATAAATAAGATGAAAAAGAAAAATAATAAGAAGAGGGAGTGCATTTGTTAACAATCGTCGCCAGCCGGAAGCACAAGTAGCACGTCTACCTGTCCGATCTTCTCCGAAGGATATTACGCAACGCGCATCCGACCTACTTCCTTCGAAATCGTTGCCTTTTATTAAGAAAGGATAAGAAAATGTTTAAACGTTCGAAAGCTTTTCTCCAATCTACCTTTTCGTAATATGAAATAATTTAATGATTATACATTATATATATATTTCCGCAAACGTGATGTAACCTCACATACGTTTCTCAATATTGATAGTATAAGAGAATGAAAAAAGAAAGATAAAGCAACATTCCAAATATTTAGAAAGAAAATGAAAAAATAAGAGAAGAAATTTGTCATTTATCGCTGAACGTTGGAAGATTCACACCTGGCTCCGCCAAGTCCTACGATAATCCTTCTTGTTTTTCTGCTTTGCTCCGTTTTTATTCTTTTGTTTTTTTTCTCTCTCTCTCTCTCGCCCACCCTAAACAACGACGAGTCACACCTGTCGCACGAAACGAAGCGTTTACTAACAGTTGATCCTCATCAGGCCATTCTTTTCAACGACGTTTTGACAAGAAAAAAAAGGTTGCGCGCGCGCAATATAGGAAGAATGAACGGGCCCAGAGGTGGCTGTCCTGGCCGACGGGGACCGACTGAAGGTGCGAGCAACGCTCGTCTCGGCCACGAGCCACGTCCCACTGACCTACTGACGATCTCGATCGTTCCTACTGTGCCACCTTTCTTCCCACCATTACTACTATAATACATACAATTCCACCACTACCACCATAAGCTGCACATCGCGATCAAGCAACTTCGAGTACCCATCTCTACGTCGGAGCAAGGTGCAAACAGACCCAACGTTGTTGTCATTTCTACTACCCTCCCCTTTCCTTTGTCCCCTGTCCCTGGCCTCCCCCACTCGTTCCACCTCCTTTTGCCGGAGTTTGTTCTCTTTATTTTTCTTTCTCAACGAATGTATTATATAAAAGAGGTAAGATTCAGTACACTCGTGGCGTGAAGAACTTATTTTCAATTCGCAATAATCTATTTTGATCCTTTTTTTTACCGTTAAGAGGCATTTGCTTTCACCGAAACGAGTAGGGTAAATAAGGGGAGGGGAGAAGGAGGAGGGGAGGGGAGGGGAATCGACGATAAACAAAATCTTTATGGTTCGATAATAAATGCAGTCATTGTAATATCTTTTTCTTCGTACAGACTCATTCTTAAGATAGTTAAATTGTGAATAATTACAATGACTAATCAATTTAATGACAAAATTATTCACACTGAGATATAATGGTTTTCATTTCGTTGAATAATTCATTAATTAGGTCAAATTTGTGTTAACGTTATTAGAAGGATTAAATATCATTTATCATTTAAATAGCGTTAAAATTTGTACAGATATTACGATCAAAAATTCTATAAATGATGCGAAACAAAGGAAAAAATGTTACGTGTTACAATGTCACTTTAAAATGTTGCAATTAATTATTAATTCCGTAATTAATAATAGATACGATATTATTATATTTTATTTTCCTTGTAGAACAAGGATAAACGTCTAAAGCAATAATAAATCCAACGAAATCTTCCGTAACGATCATAATTCGTATTTACACATCTAATTGTAAGTTTCATTTTACTTAATATCAATCTGAGAGTTTTAATTCAAAGACTTTCTAAGAGAATTAATGGAAAACATTCTACAAACACTTTAAAGTATACTGCTAAAGATTATACATACTTCCATTTTTAATAAAATTACATTTATCCTTACTTTTCCGAATAGTTTAAGTATATGTTTATTTATATTAAATTGTAATATAAATAAAAAATTAAATGTCGAATTTCAAAAATCGTTTTGTTTTCTTTCTGTAAAATTTTTCACAGGTAGAAAATATAGCACAGCATATCTCATGAGTATGTATGTATTTGACACTTGCATAATTACACAAAAACGATAAGAAGAGACTTTTGAACGAATCAACGAGCAACGCACCGACCTAAATTTCTCACCCGCATAATGCTCACTCGTCCATCCGGAAGTGTCTTATGATAGTCCGTTTACAAGGACTCAATCCTTTTACGGCTTGATAATAAGTGAAAGCGCGAGTGAACGTTTCAATATTCTCCTACTGTATATTCCGCCTACTTTGAAGGACACTTTGTAACATTTTTAAAAAGCACAATGTAAATTTAGAAAACAAAGGTTACATTTTAGTCATGAATTTTCGTAATTATTAAAAAGGCTATCTTAAAATAATGTTTTCTTTAAAAATTAAAATAATTCTCTCTCTCTCTCTCTCTCTCTCTCTCTCTCTCTCTCTCTCTCTCTCTTATTGAAAACATTTGTCATAACTGACATTAAGGCCTTATTTAATTACTCAAGTGTTTTCAACCTTGTATATTATATAATTCATACATAGTTTATCGAAGAAGAAAACTATAAGGGATAATTTAATTATAATTTTCTACTAAAAACTTTTTGACCAGGAAAAAAGCAATAGGAATCTTACTCAATTGAAAAACGTTAAGGTTTAACTTGAAAGAGAAAAATGGTGATGTCAAATTGAAAATAATAATACAAAGTATAATATTAGGGATCGAGTCGATCATTCAATGGGAAAAATAACGTGTCGATCGAAAGAGAGTGGAGGACCAGTAAAATCGAAGAGAAAAGGTTATTCGTGTTCGTGAAACAAGTTGTTGAGAACTAACACGATGTGATCTAAAAAAGACACAGTAGAAAGGCGGGCTATTGGGAGAAAGCGGCCCCAAAAATAATTTCTCTGTAGCTCAGCAAGCCACTGAAAATAGATAACATGAACAGCTTGTCAACGTTTTATCCTAGAATTTCCTTATAAAGAATCAATTACTGAAGTAACGATTTTGTGGTGGCCAAAATTAAAAGTACTTTACATCTCTGATTTCATGCTCTAGAAAATTAATCAATACTGTTATTTACATCAAATCGATTAATGACAACATCATTGTTGTTTATATATATAATGACAACAAAAAATATCACAACATTTTCCTAAATCAAACGACATAAGTAACTATAGGAATATAAATCTAATTAAGAAATTATAATACGAATCTTTAAAAAAAAAGAAGAATAATAAAAATAAAAAAAGAAAAAACAAACTATTTGAAGTCTTGCGTCAGAAAAATGTACTAATTTGAAAAATTCAGAAATTAGATTCTCGGAAACATGGTACGTTTCACATTCATACATGGGTTCATATAGTCACCAGAAAATCCAATTAAAACTTTTCATTCATTCGAATAAATAAGTACATATCTTTTTTCTAGCTCGAATATCTTTCACGTATAACTTCACACATGGCTCGTTGTAAGAAACACCATGAGAAGATGCGTATACATACATATATCAGTAAACATAACAGTATCTCACGTCCTAAATAAACGTAACAAGACACACTCATACACAAACAAAAGAGGTAACATCAAACGATCGTCTGTGAGATGTCAAATGGTACGATTATACGTCAACTCTCTAAAAACAAAATTATAGTAATTATCCGTATAACAAAACACGTTAATTTCTCTTTTTTTGTTAAAGATAGAAAAATCGTTCAATTATTTTTAGCGTTAAATAAACCCATTCGACACTTATCAAATAATATATCTATTATTTTAATATTAAGTAATTACGTATTATATTACAATATTATTCCATGAAAGGCATAATCTAATAACGTTTAAAAAAACTACCATTAGATTTTCATAAAATAAAGAAAATAAATGGCAATTATAGAATTAAAACGCAATTGAAACGTGATCAAAACATAATCGAAACACTGACACAATACTCTTTTATTTTGAATCGATAATGAATGCAAAACATGAAAATCATTCGTTACGAGTGAATAATGTTCAATTCTATGTAGTCGTGGTGACACCATTGTAAAGGAAACGAGAAGGCTGTATTCCCGGTTTTATCGTCACGGAAATCAGATATCGGATAGCAGCAAGGTAGTTGAAGAAGCTCCTTGTAACTCCTTTCCCCACCCCTCAGCTCATTCCTCTTTCTCTTCAGCACCCTTACTAGTTATTATTTCTACCGGCTGAGAAGGTAGCACCCTTTGTCCACGAGTAAGGTGACAGGTGTGCGGGGAACTCATGACGTAATCAAGTACCGTTATACGTGCACATGCTATGATACACATTAATACGTACACATGTAAATATAATGTATTCACCAAGTCACGTAAAACTTCACAAAAATAAGCCGCAAAACGGAAGCTACAACGGATCTACACATACAAACGCGATATTCTACTATTTCGTGAAAGTGACAGGAGAGAACGAGAGAAAGAGAGAGAGAGAGAGAGAAAGAGGATAGCAAGGTTGAATTTTTTCCCTAAAAAAACATACACATACATGTATATCATTAGTTCGTTTAACGAAGAGATCAAATTGACTACCCGCTCGTTCCTGCACACACAAAATATTATTATATTATACTTTATTTAACTGACGTACCGTACATAACAGACAATTGTATCTGAGGTATTTACTTTTTTAATTAACTAAAAAATAAATCACTTAAAATAAGAAAATTTGCATATATTTGTTAATTACACGTTTATATGTACGAATTTATACTTATAATATAATATAAAAATGAAAAATATACATTCATACAAACCAAGATATTAATTAATATATCGAATTTGATAATAAAATCATTAAAATAGTTGTTTCGATCAAGTCAAGGAAATGACTGATTTTCACGTACGCATTTATTTTATTCTTTAGCTAATCCATTATTTATCTCGATGAAACGTCCAACCTCATTTCCTACTTTTTACATAGAGACCAACATAAATACTACGACGGTTAATATTTCTACTAAATACCGAAGCAGAAAGCACTAAATTAAAGCGTCGTTCGAAAACCGTAGAAAATTGGACTCATGGTTTGTCAACGTCCTTGTTTACGAAACTTTCACGAGAACACACGTTCCTCTTCCTCATTAAAACGATACGACTGTCGGTTTTTTGCAAATCTACAACCCCCCATCCCCCCTGCTTTCCCTCTATCATTTTTTATCTACTAGTCTCCTGAAATTGTTTGATACTTCTACACATATATGTAGAAATAGTATAGGTATATATATTATACGCATATAATAATGAAAGCTATGCATATAAATATATACCAATTAAAAATACTCGTCACTTTTTCTGTAATTATTATCGAAATTCTGTATGTTACAGATCTCGATCGCATTTGTAAATAACATAGAACGAACAAACAGAAAGCGAATCGAAATGAATTCATTACTCGTTTAAAAGTTCACCATCAATGCAGTCGGCTTTCATTCTGAATTCCAAACTCTCTCATTCTCCTATGTTTTTATTACATTTCAATATAGAGTATAGCGTAGGATAAAGTTTACAATCAAAATTTTACGACAAGAGAAAATAGAAAGAGAAACACGATGGATGGTACCTGCTGATTAAACGATGATAACTGAATGCTTATATATGGTTTTATGCAACCTATAAAACAGAGTTCTAACAGAATCCGGTTTTATTGATAAATGAATCATTCTTTTCTCTCTCTCTCTCTCTCTCTCTCTCTTTCTCTCTTACTCTCTTATAAATATATTAAAGAAATATGTATATGTATATAAACATAGGTACCTACTCTCGCTTTCTCTTTTGCTCGTCAGCTCCTTACTTCCTCAACGATAAAGGACGATATTTCATCCCTCTCTCTTTTTCCCATCCTCTGTCTTTATATCTTTCTCTTTCTACCTACACGCGACCTTATTCTCGAGCACGGAGAACCGGAGAAAGACGTCACGAAAGAAGGAAGACGTGAGAACGCTGACACACTGACTCGCTACCCCACATACCCTTCTGGCCTTTCAATGGGTGATCACGGGAGAGAAAGGGAGAAAGAGAGAGAGAGAAAAGAGAGATCAACGGATAAAACAAGAAAACAATGAAGAAAAATCTTTAACTTTTTAGCTCTCTCGATGATACTCTACCTTTCCAAATTTTTTTTCGATTCAGTGATAATAATCGTTTATAAAAAAAAAAGTGAACAAAAAAAATCACTTCTCATGAACACCTCACATTGTTGTACAATAATTAAAATAATAATAAAAATGATGATGATGATGATGATGATGATGATGATGATGATGATGATGATGATAATATAAAAAAGAGAAACGTATAATATATTATATTTGTATATTATAAGCACACTCGTTTATTACACCGACGAACAAATATTCACTTTCTTATTTGACACAAATTTGGAGCACAAACCTTTCGTTCGTTAGACGTGATGCTCCCTTCTTTTCGTGTCAGAGTTGGTAGTAAGCTCTATTGTAATCCTATATTGAGACACACACGCACACACACTTTTTGGCACTTGGAAAATATGATTTTTTCTTTTCGTGTCTCTTTTCTTTTCTCTTCTTTCTACGTATAGGTACAAAGTTAAATATATACGAAAAAAATGAAACGAAAGTATTAGGACTCAAAGAAAAAACGTATCCAAAAGAACACGCCGGCGAGTTTGGTGAATACGTCGTGGTCTTATGAGAACGTTGGAAACGAAACGCAACCTATATACTCTCCCCTCTTCGGGATCCTTTGCTTTCACCAAAATCTCTCATTGCTTGTCCGCCATATTACTCCTTCTTATTCATTTCTCGTCCACTCTTCTCTCTTGAAACCCCTTTTCAACAAAAAATTCCTCTCTTAAAGAATAAATATTCATAATATGCGAATGAAAAATATTATTTTTCAATAAGAATTTCCAATAAAACCTAAAATACTTAAATGATAATGGTGATAAACTCGTAATTCGAATATATATATATTTTTTCTTCAAGATATTGTAATAAATAATTCATATGAAATTCGTAAATTGATAATAAAATATTATTCGATTGATAAAATGATATAGTTAATATTTTAATTAGTACAATATCGCGAAAGTCAAGAAAATCTTGAAAATTCAAGTGCATCTGTATTTCAATTTGCAACGCGTATCGAAAACTTTCGCTTGTATCCGGAGCATACTCGACTTCCGGCATTCATAAAAGAAAGAAGAAAAAGAGAGAGAGAGAGGGAGAGAGAGAGGGAGAGAGGAAAGCATCTTCGTACAGGGGCACAAATGGACTCGTTGTGATTCAACCGCGCTCTGGTTACGTCCCATATCGTGGCTCTTTCGAAGATGATTAAGAAAAAAGAAAGTTTAGGCCTTTCGCTCCCTGCAGAAAAAGTATCTTGTTTCTTAATGCCGACGAAATCATGCACAAGCTCGTGCACCACACTTTTTACCCATAGAAGTAATTATTATAATATCTTACTAGAATGAAATAAATGTTTTATAGAAAAAGAAAAAACGAATAATAATATACTCGTAATACTCGTAATAAATAAATATCAATCAATTTAAATTAATAAGACAAAGAGAATTTACTGTAGGAGATTATTATATACCTACAATTATACAATACATAGGTGTATATACGTACGTATATGTATGTAGATATATATTTTTGATGAAATAACATTTGATCTTTTCCAAACTAAAGCATTGACCTAATACGTTTTCAGAATGTCATACGCTTGACCATCTTGTCTTCAAGAATTCCATATGTAATTCCAAGATTATCAAAGCATATCAAGAATCCTGTTGAACCAGCTCTCACATACATTAATGCATCGCAATTTCTCGATTGTATGAAATTCTAATCGATCCTCTTTACAATAAACAACATTCGCTATTAACTATATACTTATTGATATTATTATAAGTAAAAAAAAAGTAATACTATAACGCTACTACTACTAATATGTCATTTATAAAAAAATATCTGGACAAACTATTATCAAATATGCAAATATATCTAACTGCATACTAGTAATAATTGTTTGAAATTAATATTAATAATATTAAATATTACTAACCATAAGTGTAGGAGTCATTGGAAAGCCTTTGTTTGCTTAAAAAATAAAACAATTGAATGGATACAATAAAACATAATACTTATATATATGTACGCATGTATGCGTTTAGTCATATCTCATTATCATTGTTCTATTTTCTCATCGAAACGGTCGATCACCTCGATCTTTCCTAACGCGGATGCGATGCAGAAAGAAAGCTGCCTGAACAAATTCCGCGGTGGCCATCGGAATGGTGAAATTGCGCAATTTTTCCACGAGCTTTGACGTCATTCACGGCCATTCACGAGAGCCCAGCAAACCAGCAGCTTTCACACGGATCCCGCTTTGTCTAGATACCTACATACGAACAAGAAATATTCTTTCGACGTACGTAAACGCACGTATATACGTTATATATAGTATGTGTAATCTAATAATATGTAGTTTATCTTTTGCTTGAAGAATCTTTCGAAGCAAAGCAAAACTTGGAATCGATTTTGGACGAATTTTCTCCCATCAGTCTTTCTTTCGTTCCTCTTGGAAGGACAAGGCGGGCATAAAGTCGTTCCTTGGCTCGTACAACGCCTCGTTATATCCTTTATTCTCAATAACCGGAATCACCTATTAGATATAATCTCGAGAAACTGATTTTCTGAGATTCCTTGTGACTTTCACTTGCAATAAGATCGCCTTTCTTCGTGTTTACCTAGCTTACAAAGATCCGGTATTCTTGATACTGGACCAGTTCCGACTTATTACCAACGAAAGAGAGAGAAAGACAGTGAGAAAAAAAGGGAGAATTTGAACAAAGTCATTACGATTAAGTGTAATCTTTCGATTATTAATTTTCCTTTCTGGCCCAGTTTTGCCACCTAAAATATTTACTTATTTTTTATTTTTTTTTTCGTCAATTATTCTAACTTGAAAAGTTTTTAACGACGACACATCAATCGCAGAAATTGAAAAACATGAAATTCGGAATTTGAAATTCGGAAATAAAGAAAAGCAAGAAGAACGTGAACTCCTTCTTTGATTTCTCTAATATCCGGATTTTCTCCCTAGATACCTAGTCTCTAACTTTCGTGGCGCCTACTAAGTACGCATAAGAATTTGAATTGACCGAGTGATTTTTTTTTATCTAAACGTCAAATCATAGTAATTTGATGTCTGGCAAAGCCGACTTATTTGTTTGTCGAAGAACCTACGTCAGATACGACACTGTAGTCTAATGTAAGATTTAGTTTTGGCACACTTTTAAAGACGTCAAAGCCGATTCGAAACGTCTTGCCGCTTATACATAATCCATTCAAGAAATTAACATTACAAATTGCGAACGATGTCTTGCGAATATTTCCAATCTCGATTCTACATAACACACTTTTAATGGTAACTTAACAATTATGTGATTTAAAACTTTTGCAATAGATTCGAAATTCTACTAAATAAAATAATTTATTTAAAATAAAAACGATAAAATATAGTAATAATAATGATAATTATTATTATTATAACATAATAATTTAATAAATTTGTTTAGAAGGTAATTGAACAAAATGTATGTTTAATTGTTAAGAAGTTTGCATATACGTACAATAATTTTGGGTCAGTGAATTGCAGGTCTTCTTCATTCCCCCTTTCTCAATTGCTTGTGTCGAACGTGCTGGGTGATCGAACGCCCTTTCTCCTCATCCTCCTCTTCTTCCTTCGCATATTTTTCTTTTTATTCTTTATTGAGTTCGTCTTTAACCTGTTCAGTAAACCACGAGACACGAATGTAATTATTACGAATGACTGTAAATCTTTGTCACCAATAATATTGGATCTTTTCAAATGAGAAATTTTTAACTCGTGAAGACTTAAGATGCATATTTTCGCATAATTTTCGAGCTATATTATCTCGTTATCAATGAATAACTTTATCAATGTTTCTTTTTAAACATATATATTATTTATTGACTTTATTAACGTTATTTTTTTGAAATTATACATTACGAGATATAAATATGTAATATCTTCAGATGTATTAATCTTACATGAATAATACTCGAAAGTATTTTATCTTTAATATAAATAAAATCATTTGAAATGATTAGAAAAGTTAGAAGACGAAATAGAAAAGAATAAAAGATACCAAAATAAAATGAAGCACGCTTCGTGAAAGACCGTCAACACTGAAACGGAGTGAAAGTTTAGCTTTCCTATTGTGATCGCTAACGTTTCAATCTCTCAAAATTTCATCGACGCAACAACGCCCGCGTTTCTTTCGATACACGATAACACAACACTTTCCCAAGAACCATTCGTCGAGTTGTAAACCTCATCGAAGATTTAACGTCAATCATCTCATTGATTTTCTCTTCAACAAGAAAGATTCGCTTGAAAAGTGACGAAAAAACTTTAACGACACCCGTTAGAAATATATTACGGTAACAAGATTGTTCAATCCTTTTGCAAATAACTATCGACTATAGCATTATCTTTTCTATTAATTTCATTTACCAAATAAAAAGATCTTTTACAATAAGTACATTTCAAGTACTTTGTGAATTTATCATGAGTTTTCTAATAATGAAAGAATTGATAAAACAAAAAGCTTACTCTCATGTTATTTAAAGGAATCATAATTTTAATTAATATGTATCTAAGAAAACCTAACAGATTTCTTTATGTTTCTTCTGTGAATGAATGCATGTAAAAAAAGAAATAACCATTTTAGTTATGCAAATTATAATATTTACTCTTATGATTATATTATTATAGGATTACGAAAATTATTTTAATCCGAGATTAATTGCAAGTTTTTACCGACCAATAAAAATTAAAAAAAGAAAAAAATTAGCTAACGAATTATTCCTTTCAAAAGTTCAAACATCTGGATCGATTAGAAACTCGACAAAATAGAAGCGACAAACAAGGAAGCAGAAAAAAGGGAATAGATAGACGCTCTTACATTAGTGTGTCAGTGTGTCTATATGCTAATAGCTTGACTCGATTAGCGGTTTTAACTTCGGCTACGAATAAACTCGATAGAAGAAAGCACTTTGTTTTCAAAAGGATATTAAAGAAAGACACTAACAATAAGTTAGTATGCATATAAATAAGTTTTTACATGATGTAATTTAAATAACATTTTTAATTCAGAAAATTTTTCATTAGCAAAATATATTTTTCATTGATTTTTTCACAAAAATATTTATATATTATATTTTAATAATATAACTATATTTATAATATATATATGTTATACATGAATTAAATGATATATACATTATTACTATATAAAATGATTATATTTCTAAAAGTTCTATATATATATTTAGCTACTATCGAATAATATCATTTGAAATAATAGTTACTCAAAAAGGAAGTAGCAACCGGTTAGCAAAATGCGAAGGTGTGTACGTTGATGCTCTTAAATCGTTCTCAAGGCTCTCCCGTTTAACGGTACTCCTCTCTTAAAGGTATCCTACCTGAACATTAGAAAGTAGTTTGATATTTGGAATTTCCTCCAATCTATTTCTATGATTCGCTCAATTTGACTGACCTATGCTTTTACGAGGGCGTTACGAGATGCCCTTACTGATCTATTGCAACCCAATCGATTTATTCTTACTTTTCATTTAAAAATTAATCTCTCAAATAAATATCTAAATTATTTTTATCAAAAGTTAACAATTTTTTTATCAAATATAAGGAAACGAGTAAAGTCGTAAAAAAATGGGAGCTGGGAAGTTGTGACTTTAATAAATAAAAATTTTTAAAGCGCGTATCAAAAATTTATTGCCAAAGATTTTGTTCTCGCAATCGTTTTCGACTATCTATTATTATTGTGTTATTACCTTGATAATTTCATTGACACTCGTTTATTCTATTTTGCACTTTTATTTATGCTACGGGCAACATGTATTTAGCAGACATTCTATAGAATGCCCAGAAAGTTTCGGTCAATCTAAAAAGTGTGTATATTTAAGGGAACGAGCAGAAGGGGGAAGTAATCTGAAGCTATTGTAAGTGAAAGAAACCATGGAAATTTAAAAATCCTGTCTCATCCCCCCCTCGTCCGAAAGTAAAATACTTTAAACGTATACTTCATTGAAATACTTTTAAGGTACTCGAAAAATGAATATTTAATGAAAAATGTTTACATTTACCGTTATACTCGCAACACAAATATGAATATTTCAACATTCCACACATAAATACGCAACAAAATGGCTACCTAAGATTTGTACATACACTTGATAACAATACAAGTAATTGAAAATTATTGATAATAATTTATATTTAGGATTACACCAATAAGACTTTCTTTCTTTTAATTATTATAAATAATTCATAGAAAATAATACAGAGATTTTAAGTGTGCGTTTACGAATCAAGAAACATCGCAAAACAGCGAAACATTGTCCAATCATCGACAAAACACAAATCTATTTTCAACTTTCTAATAATATCGTTGTAATGACGAGGATTGTGTCGTTAAGTCACTCACTTCGCACACTCGCTTTCACCACCCACGCACGAATTTTCTATTCTCTTAAAGCTTTCTCGTCGTTGATACATATATAGAGAAATATACAATGTATATAATAAACATATACATATACATAGATATATTTACGTTGAATATGACGCGAACAATGAGTCACGTTATCGGCTTCGCCCGCTTTTCGGGTTTCTCTTACTGACGCAATCTTCTTTTCTTTCTTTCTTCTTTTTTTAATCTCCAACAAAAGAGGACGTTATTCTAACAAACTTTCACTTTCCCTTCCCTTGAAGAAGGTTTCTTACATCGAACAAAATTTAGTCAACATTTTAAGAGGACACGTCACCTTCGAGTGCAAAAAAAAGCGGTTCTTTTGTGAATTTTTTTTGCAGCCAGTTTTATTAATATTAATACAAATTTTTGGTATATGTAAGTTATATATCTGAACTATATTCACAATTTTTTGTGTGTAAAAATATTGTAAATTGTGTTGTCTGTGGCCACTTTTCTAAGAGTCCAAAAAAAAAGGTGATTTTCGGTTGCCCTCACTGGCAAAAATTGGTTCATCAGAAACATAAAAACCGAGTGTTATCCTTTAGTAGAGATGTTGGCGCAGGAAATGAACGAAAGGAAATATTGATTTTTTAATTTTTTTCAAAATAGTCGACTTTTTACGAAAAAATTGACATTTTTACAGAAAAATCGCCGTTTTTGATAAAAGAAAAAAAAATTGGCATTTTTTCGAAAAATCCTTTCGTTCATTCCCTAGATACGTGTATCTAGTATTAGTGTACAAAATTTGGTAAGGATCGGATAAATGGTCTGGACGCAGCGAGGGCAACCGTTTTAAAAACGCGAATAGAAGAAATTAACGTTTAAAGTTTTAGACACTTACTTGGAGCGCTACGGCGCGCTCCGTTTAAACTACTACAGTTTCATAAATAATGGGCGGATCTTCACCAAAATTTGAAGAAATATTTTTGAAATAATATTCTTTCAGAAAATCGAAAAAAAAATCGATTTTTTTGTTGACGTGTCCCCTTAAATTCTTCCCTTTTCTCTTTCATACATTATTTCAGATTTTTAACTAATAATTAATTAAAAGTAATACCCTAACGAACTAACGCCTCCATATTCGCGACATATTAAATATTTTAAAATAATCGAATGCCGCCGTACAGGCGGCATGACCTGATAATTTAGAAAATTTATTAAGTTCTGTAATTGTTACGTTACAATGAAGGGCGATGGACAATTGTTTCTGGATGCATTCTGTAGAGTTCCACTTCGAGCATTAAGCGAAAAAAACACAATTTTTTAAAAGTTCAATAAAATTTAATATCGTGATTTTCTGACGAGACAATATATAACTATTGCAAAAATTGTATTAAAAAACCCTGTATTCACATACGGGATTGTTGGAAGATGTACCAAAATATACAAAAGTTTAAGTAATTTTGCATAGATTAATTGTAAGCCCATAAAAAAAAAACAATTTATAAATGTATACGTGTCTATAAATTACATACGTATATCTATTGGTTTATTTCAAATCTGACTATTTTTCTTTAATTTTCACTTTAGTATTCTTTTATATGGGCAAATCTGTTCATATACTACTTCTTACTATTAAAAATTTCCACAAAATCCAATAAAGCAACATTAATTATGCACTTTTTCTTGCTCTTGAAATAAAGTACTAAATATCTTAAAAATCCGTCGATCTAAAAATCATTATTCTAATAAACTACGCTCGTTCGTTAAGGGTTAATATACGTATGTATTTATCGTTAATATCTAAAACTACATATGTATTGTTCAGTTCTATAAATTAGTCTCATCAAATTACATTAGGAAGATAGATACATATGTAACATTTACAAAAAAAAAGAACAGTTTTTTGGAGAAATTTTTACCTAATAATTGATTAGACAACAATTGGCTTGTTCAATTCTCTTTATAATAAATAATATAATCTTAACATTTATATACCTATTTACGTACGTCCTCGTTCTTGAAATCAATCAAAATTAACGTTTAAAACGTGATGTCGTCGAGTAACGGAGATGCCAAAAGCAAATATATATATATATATATATTTTTTAATGAGAATGCTAAAATAATTATTCATCCAGCGAGAGGGAGAGAGAGAGAAAGAGAAACGAAGAACATTGACAACGGATTACTACTACGTCGACTCGTAAAAGGATTTGAGAGTAGTAGTAATCACTTATGTACCGGCTTGCTTTTACGGGCCAGTGAAACTTACGCCGTTAATTACACATTCTTTTTAACCTTTCAAACTATTATTATACTGTTGGCATTATTTTCTCGTCACTATATACAACTATCGATTTGTAATTCAACGATCGTCGTTACAATATTATCAGTATTTGAATAAATTTCATCTATTCGACGAATATTCGACTGATATCGTAGGTTATAACTTTAATCAAATTTTTTGAAATTTATACAATATCAAGTATCATACAAATAGTTCGTACATATATAACTTTGGAATTATTCCATTTTAATGGTGTCTTGATAACATAGAAATATATTATAAATTAGGATACCGTATACGTAATATGTACATGCATATATCGATCAATAATGGATGGAAGTACTTATGTATGTACATAGATGTTTATAGGATCTCACATAACTCAACGATCCTTAACATTTCCTATATCAATTCATACATGCATGCACATATGTAAAATATTATAGACCGCATTTGAAAATTGATCCTTGAAATTTAAAGTCTCTTCCATATTTGATTTTATCATTTCGTTAAAAGTATTTTCATTTTTAAATAGAAGAATATTATGTGTGCAGAGAGAATGAAAATTAGAATATTGTAATATATTGATGATTAAGCGGCTCACGTGCGATGAAATGATTTCACCAAGACTCGAGGGTCACCATATTTACTGAACTAAATGATAATACACAACATGATAATAGACATTTCACTGTATGGTATTAAAGCTACGCTGTTGCGAATACGCTAAGAGTACGTTCAAAGTTGTTCCTCCTCTTGAAGACTGCTTTCACAACACGCATCCGGAATCAATCGATGCTTTAACTTCATAAACAGGATACTTGTCCGACTCGCCAACTATATTCGAACTATACCTCCTACTACTCGCTCGTTCTCGTCAATCAGACTCGTTTTATAATAAATTTTCATGTTTTTCATCAAACAAGATATCTTCTTATATATACATATATATTTATATATACACACATTCGTATACATAAATTTTGTCCAAATTCTATTCAAGAATTAACTATTTTTCTATAGAATTATTATTAAATTTAATTTAATTTTATGGGCCTAAAAGTATTTTAATCGAAAGTTATACTAAACCAGATGAAATATTTATATTCATATAATAATATATAAATAATATTTAATTTAATTTAATTCATTAAATTCCAAGCTATATCCTTCAATACTATTAAATATGTTAGGATGCAAATAAATTTGTTTAAACGTACGAAGAGAAATATGGTTGCTTAGTAAAAAATGTTCTAAACATTAACGTAAATGAATTTTAACATTAATTGTTGTGATCAATACGACTGACAAATAAAATTCTTATCCAGCATGATGAAACTAATGCTCTGATTCCTCGGTTAATTAGAACATGTCGTTTCCAACCTTGCGCAATCGTTATCGATCGATCATCTTCTTCTTTAGGATCTTTTCAACGAAACGACAACGTATAAGTACACGCGTGTAGTAATGAGCGAGCATGGAATGCACGCATGCATGCACGCATGCACGCATGTATGATAACCATTAATGGACGAAGGAAGAGGAAAGTAGCATTTCTGCTCTTTTCTACGATCTTAAGGAGGAGAAGGAAGGACACGCGAACATTTCCATAACACACTATATCTTCAAGCACGTGCGATACGCGTTAATGTCGTTTTCAAAACGAGTACAGAAACTACACGATTCTCTTTGCTTTCAAACGATAGAAAATAGGAGAAAATTAACAAAGGTTTATTCCAAGAGTAGTATTTTGTGTATCTAATTTTATTGTTAAAAGATCACATTTATGTATTCTGATAAATATAAAATTACTGTTTTTCTTCCTTTCATTCCACAATATTTGATAAAAGAAAAAGAAGAAAAAAGAATGTGAGGCATTCATGCGTGATAGAAGTAAAAATTATATTATCATATAGAAAATAATTGATTCGTGTATACACATTCATGTATAGTACCGAAATTAATTTTATACTCATTAAAGTAAAAATAAGTATAAGGTACATTTCTTTAAAAAGAAATAAATTAAATTTTCTCTATAAAGTTTCGAATAAAAAATTTTAATTTAATATTTTATTAAATAAAAATGGTTAACTCACAGTCATTTCTGGCCAAGAACGTTAAAACAAGTGTTGTTATTTTAATTTAAACAATCTCAAATATTAGTAAAAAGTACAGTACTATGTTTAATTTATCTTAATTGATTGATAAAAGGAAATATATATTACAGTCTGGAAGCTACAAAGTATAAATTCGTCGTACCATCCTCTTCGAAATCAAACAGTATACTGATTCCATTATCCTCTATGAAAGTCACTTAAAATTCTTTTATTGATTTTTGTTTATATGACTCTGTGAAGGAATAACAATAACAAACGATGAATTTTTCTATGTTATATATATATA